TATATATATATATATATATATATATATTTTTCTGTTTATGTATATACATGTGCATGTAATTATGTGGGTTTTAATGTGTACCGGTGATATCTTATGTATATAGTTATTTATGTATGAATGAGTGAATGAATAAAAGGAGTGGGCGAGAGCGATGGTGACATGACGGAGTATATATATATATACATAAGAAAAATAAAAAATAAAATAATAACACTAAAAGAGAAGAGAAAAAGCAAAAAATAAAAAAGAAAACATCTTTACTATTATCTTCAACAAGATATATATACATATATATATATATATATATTTATATATATACGTATCTATATATAAAGACCAATCAATTGCTTTAGTAGTAGCAGTAATAATGATAATTCTAGTGGAGGAGTATTGATGACAATTAACTGTTCAAACGTCGTCTGAGAAAAAAGAAAAGCAAAGAAAAAAAGAAAATAAAATAAAAAAAATGAATAAATAAAAATAAAACACAACTGTACATATACTTACAGCATTGTGTGTGTAGTTGTGAAGAATGAGTGAGAGAAAAAGAGAGAAAGAGAAATGATGAGAGCAAAGGATCAAGAAGAAAAACGGAAATAGAAAGAAAAAGAAATGAAGAATAGTAACTGTACGGAATATATCTATCTATTTATCTATCTGTAATTCCCTTTATTATTATTATTATTATTATTATTATTATTATTATTATTATTATTATTATTGGTTTCCATTCCATCAATACAGTATTTGTTGATGATACTTTTTTTTTCTGTTTTTTTTTCTTTTCTTTTCTTTTCTTCTTTCTTGTGCCTGCAAGGAATTCCTCTATATTGATAGTATAGACATTTTATTCTCTGCTGGTTTTTTTTGTTTTTTTGTTTTTTTTTTTTATCTATACATGTCTGCTGTTGCTTAATACCTATATGGGTATATATATATATATATATATATATAAAGACATGTTTTTTTTTTTTTTCTGTGTGTGTGTGTGCGAGTGTGTATTATGAATTGGTGTAAATAAATAACAATAAATAAATAAAGTAAACATTTAAGAGTATAATTAAGTTTGTACTAAATAGTAATAATAATCATAATAGCATTTTCTTTTTTATTTTATTTTCTTTGATTTCTCTTTCTCTGTCATTATTATTAGATTTTGGTGTTTATATGCTGCTGCAAGGCGTACTGGTGTTTTTTCTTTTCTTTTCTTTCTTTCTTGTTTTTCTTTTTATTTAGACACTGATTGGTCTGAATTCTTTTTTTTTCTCTTTTTTTTTACGTTATTGTATGAAGATATATCTATTTATCTATTTATCTATCTATCTATCTATTTATCTATTGTTGTGTTTTTTGTTTGAGAGAGCAGAAGTGCAATTGACCCGCATTGAGTCATTACTGCAGTGAGAGAGGTATGAACTCCAGTGGTGGCTCTCTTATGCCTGTAGGGTTTCATTTTCCTTTTTTTTTCTTTTCTCATTTTATTTTATTTTATTTATTTATTTATGAGCACTGTCTTCACAAGACCATACCTTCTTATTTATTTCTGCACCAATAGCCTTTACGGTTTTCTTTTTTTTTTCTTTGTTGATGATGCGGCGGTGGAGTGACAGTGTACATCTTTTTTTCTTTATTTTTATTATTGTCGCGAGATGTGTTTTTCCACACGATTGTCGCGTTTTACATGTATTTACAATTCCTCTCTCTCTCTCTCTATATATATATATATATATATATATATAGTTATAGTGTTTATAACTGTATGTTTCTTCTTCTTAATGGTATTATATTCTTCTAGGCATTCCTCTATACTTCTTTTCTTCTCTTCTTTTCTTTTTTCTCTTCAATAATCATTATATATATATATATATAATAGACATTAATCCCCCAACGGGTACAGGGAAGAATATATATATATATATAGGTACTGAGAAAAACCAAACCACAGTCTCCAAATTATATTTATTTTTTCTTTCCCCTTGTGTTTCCACACACACGTACACAAACACAAACACAAACACACACCCTCTCTCTCTCTCTCTTTCTTTATTGCTTTTTCCCCTACGCCTGTGTATTTGCGTAAGTAAAAAAAAAAAAAGTAACGGAGTGAGTCTATAAGTAAGTAAGTGAGTGTGTTGTTATTGTTTTTTTTTTTTTTCGTTGTTGTTGTTGTTGTTGTGTGGTCTATTAACAAAAAAAAAAAATCTCTTCATCTTCTTTACGTACATTAATAGACCAGAACAGAGGTGTGAAAGTCTCGGCATCAGTGACCTCTCAGCAGTAGTGTGTTAACAACAGTAACATCATCCACAGATTATTACAAACAAGGAAGAAAGAAATAAGAAATAAGAAAAAAAAAAAGGAAATAAAGTAAAACTAAAAGAAAAAAAAAGAAAGAAAAGAAAGATGGAACTAGATGGTGAGTTTAACTATGAGCGTGATGAGCAAATCATCCCCAAGGTGCTTTGTTGCATGTGTGGTCTTTTAATTGACAGTAATCCATGTAATATGTGTCCTTCTTGTTTACGCTCACATGTTGATATTACCGCCTCCCTGCAGAAGGAATATATTATTGTCTACTGTCCAGAGTGTGCACGTTATTTACAACCACCACAGTATTGGAGTCGTGCGGATCTTGAAAGTCGTGAGTTACTTACTATTTGCCTAAAACGTATAAAAGGTATGAATAGAAATGTTTTTAAGTTAATGGATGCTGGATTTATATGGACAGAACCACACTCTAAACGATTAAAGGTGAAATTGGTACTCCAAAAGGAGGTGATGAGTAATATTGTTATTCAACAGGCATGTGTGGTGGAGTACGTGGTGCTTTGGCAACAGTGCCCGACCTGTCAAAAGGTGGCAACGGGTCAACCCCAATGGGATGCATGTGTACAACTTCGACAGAAGGCCGCACATAAGAAAACATTCTTATATCTTGAGCAACTTATTTTAAAACATAAATTGCATGAGAACTTTACACGTATTGAATCCCAACCAGAAGGATTGGATTTCTTTTTTGGTCATAAAAGTCATGCTATGAACTTTTTAGAGTTTTTAAATCGTAATAGTCCTGTTACTCGACGAGATGCGGTTCAGTTGGTTTCACATGATAGTAAGAATAACACAGCTGTTCAACATTACACCTTTTCACTTGAGATTTCTCCAGTTTGTCGAGAGGATTTATTATTATTACCTTATCAAAACTATTATCTTAAGCTTGGAGGTCTTGGACCACTTGTTCTTGTGCATAAGGTTTACAGCAGTATTGTACTTCTCGACCCAAAGACCCTTCGCGCTGGTGAATTCACTGGAACCTTTTACTGGAAAAAACCATTTCAACCCCTTATGAATTCCCGTCAATTGACGGAGTTTTATGTTCTCCAATGCAATTTAACAGGTGTGACGAATGGACGTTATCAACTTGGTGTAGTGACGGTGTGTCTCTCCAGTGAAGTTGGGGCTGGACGTGAGTGGATTGTCTCCTCGCATCTCGGCGGTATTCTCCAGCCCGGTGATCTCGCGATGGGATATCTGCTGGAGGGCACCAACTTCAATAATGAGGAGTGGGACAGCCAGCGGTATAAACCGGACCAACTGCAGGAAGTCATTCTCGTGCGGAAACACTTCCCCGCCCAGAAGGCGCGTCGGCACAAACGTGTGTGGAAACTTAAACATTTGGATGTGATGGATCCCGTCGCGATGGGCCGATCGGCGAAACTGCAGGAGGAGTTGGAGGAGGAGCGGCGGGAGTTTGAGGATGATCTCGAGCGGGATGCCGAACTCCGCCGCGATGTGCCCATCTACAAGATGTTAGACTCCGAGTTGGCAGAGCGACAGGGGAAGAAGGATAAACGGGAATCAACCACACAACAACAGGATCATCCTAACGGTACAACTACTACTCAACAAGAAGCAGAAGAAGATGAGGATGATGAGGAGGTACCGCAGATTGGATTGGAGGAACTTTTGGATGAACTGCGTATTGAGGATGATGTGATTGATAATGATAACGCCGTGAATGCCACAGCACAGGGAGCAGAGGAGGAGGAAGAGGAGGAACATTTACGGAAGAAACAGCGGGCGGAGTAATGAGAGTAAAGAGTGGAGAAGAGAGAAGAGAGAAGAGAAGAGAAGGGAAGGAGAGTGGAGTCTTTTGCATATATATATATATATGCATCAGTGATGATAAGAAGAATATATATATAAGGAGGAAGAAAAATAAACAAACAAACTATAAATACCAACACCATAACTCATCATTATTACAATAACACCGAATAAAAGTGATGTGCAGAAGGTGTTTGGAAAATTCATAGTTGTCTTTGTTTGTTTGTTTTTCTTTTCTTTTTTTTTGTTTCTTCTTGAAATTTGTTACTTATTTTCATTTTATGCACTGTCTCACGTTACCTACCACCTACATTTGTTCTTTTTTTTATTATTATTTTTAAGAGAAGCTGCGCTTAAGAAAAAAAAAAAAATGGTTAATGCCATACATTAGTAGTCATAATGCCACCTTTTCCCTTTTAAGAAGACAAAAAAAACAAAAAAAACAAAAAAAAAGGTGTGATCGTTTATTCGATACCCCTCTGGAACTAATTTTTTATTATTTTTTCATTACCTATTCCTCTCAGGAATGTTCTCATATTTATTTCTAATATACTCTTTCTCTCTATTTTTCTCTTTGTTTTTCCTCAATGGTGTTCATACACGCACTCTCTTTATATATATGTATAAAGAGAATGTATAGACTAACACATACAATTTATCAAATACATGCAAAACTGCGTGATCGATTGCCCTTTGCGCCTATTACACCGTTCGTAGCAGCGGAGTTATTATGTGAGGAACATCCGTATATAGATAGCGGTGTGACGGCTCATCTCGTGGGATGTGTGGAGGGCAACGGCATTCGTCTCTCACCATCGTCTATTATGGCATTATTTCGCCTTGGCTACAGAGATGGACAAACTGTTAAAACTACTACTAATACTACTACTACTACTACTATTATGACTACTAACAGTAATAATAGTAATAATAATAATAATAATAATAATAATAATAATAATAATAATAATAATATTCATAATAGGAATGTTGATCATCACAGAACCGCCATCACCCAGTGGGGACCGATGGAGGAAACACTATTCACAGCACTGTATATTCATTTGCGGAGATATACACAAGCAAAAGAACAGAAAGAACAGAAAGAAGAAAAAGAAGAAGAACAACAACAGGATACATGGTGGGACGATTTGTTAGAGACGGACAGCTGTGAAAAGAAGAAATCACACAAACCATCTAATCAAGAGGAACTATTAAACCCTCTTTGTAAGAAACTTCAACTGCTGGTGGATGTGGCTAACTTTATACACTACTCAACCCTTACATTGAAGCCACGACGCTTAGAGCTTCTCGCAGTTCTATTCAAACCACTCGTACAAGATATCACTTTGCAGTGGTCTCATGTAAAAGAAGAAATCTCAATTGAATCTCTCACCTTTTTGCAGCCACAAGAATCTAATTATGATTACTTATTGTTGCAGTTGTACAACAAGTTGGGTTCTTTAGCGGGAAAGTGTTTACGATTATATGGTAAGTATTTTACTGTATTTCATAATATCTTTTCTGAAATTCTCTTTTCTGGTACAATGGCTTTACGCATACTCCTTCAACAACAACCCATTAAACAAAGTGAAGAATTATTTCGTGCACGTCTTGTATGGGATATACTTATAGAGATTCGTTCACTATTTTTTGGATTTCTTAATTACACTATAGATGAGATACAACAATGGATTGGACCTGTTCATCATTGGCTTCAAGGCGTGGTAGAAATTACGGAGTGTTTTGCAAAGGATGTTGTGAAGATATCATTATTATTATCATCATCAGGGCATTTAAACACTTTCAATGCGGATGGATCATTGTATACAATATCGTCAGAGTTCCGTATATATTGTGTGGAAGTATTGCATACATTCACAATGTGTTTGGCATTATATCAGTTAAGTTATGCTAAAGCAAAGGATGAGGTGCTAGAAAGGGGATTGAATACCATACAATGTCTCTTGCAGAATATCTTATTAACAAGAAAGAACAGAACAACAATAACAACAGTAACAGAAGGAGAAAGAGAGGTGTCAACATTATTATATAATAATATGGGGTTTTTAACAGTTGAAGAGTGGTGTAAGTGTTGTGAGGCCGCTGAGGTACTACGTCTCTTCTCAGAAGTGTCTAAAGAGAGTATTATTACAAATGCCAATGTGAATGATAATAGTATTCAATCTAAAGAGACTGATATACGGTTAAGATTACTTTTAGATGCTCTCCGCATCTTGAGAAACACTAAAAGTGTTAGTAATAGTATTAGTAATACTATGAATACACAAACTGTATTACCGTTTTCTTTTTATTTAATACTTGTGAAGTCTATGCAAACTTGGCAGATATCATTAACTTCCATACACCAGGAACAACAACAAGAAGAGGAATATTATGATTTGCTATATACATTATGGAATACTATATGTACTTCATTTCCTGGTTTGTTTGATGTATCCCATTCATCCCCACCTCCTGCATGTTCTCTGCTGGAGTTAATCGAATCTCTCAATTCCACAATAGTTGAATTAAATGTCTCTTCTCATTCTCATAATAATAATAATAATAATAATAATAATAATAATAATAATAATAATAANNATTATTATTATTATTATTATAATATGTACGAACAATCATGTCAACAGTTGCGCACTATATGTCTTTCACACATACAACGTACACTTCAGACACAATCCTCTCATGTAGACACTCAACTCTTACGTGGATTATTACACGCTGGATCTATCGCTGCCCATCCACCCATAGCCCAGTATCTCCGTAATATCTTACTACCACTCTCTGCAAGTATTCAACGTCTCTCTTCTTCTTCTTCCTCTCATTTACAATCCTATTCACATACTACCTACCGCAATGCCGCTTCTTCTCTCTCTGTTAAGAATAGGAATGATATGATGATGATGATAGTGGAGGAAAAAGAGGATGAGTTTACACTCGCTGGTGGGGCCTGTGGATTTCTCTGCAATTCTTGTCGACGGTGTGTGATGTGGGGCCGCCCTGTGGGATCGCCGGTGTGCGGCTGCCGCTGTGATGTGCGGGATGTTAACACCGCCAGTACACTCACCGCCCACGTGGAGAGACTCACTCCTCTACTCCAACAGGAGGAAGAAAAGGGAAAGGAGAAGTGTTGGTTATTAGTAATAACGTCTGAGAGAGGAAAGAGAAGGAGGAAGAAGAGACCTTTAGCTATTCTGCGGGGTATATACACTTTAGCCGCAGATAAAAGAGGAGGAGTTGGTTTAGGCACAATAGACGGAGAAGAAAAGAAGAAACTGTTAAGAAATTCACCTGTTTGTCGCTTCTTTATAGAGTGCCATGAACAACTGTTGTTAATATCATCTGCAGATTTATTACCCGCACATATGTGTCGAATACTGCGCATTATATTTACATTAACACCACATATTTTTGTACTCGTACCAGAACTCCCTCGATTACTACTATGTCGCCTTCTTCTTTCAACAACAACAACAGAAACAACAACTATATATTCTTCTACGGAGAATAATAGTAAAAACAGAGATACAAATGATATCATTGAATCTGTTGAACCACAAGAATTATGGGAAATATTTCTCTGGACATGTGCGGTCACGATGGCTCATTTGGGTCGCCGTTCATTACTAGATGTTTGTTATCGCGATGATGATTGGATCTCAGATTTCACAGAAACCGTAACGACTGCAGCTCATATGCGTAATAGTGGGGATAATAATAATAATAATAGTAATAATAGTGATAATGATAATAATGATGAGGATGAAGATGAGAATGCAAAACATATTGTTCGTCTCTTGTCTAGTATGAGTCAGAATGATGAAATGCGGGATTTATTTACATCAATACAAGAACGGGTAGTGCGACGTGCCTTGAAGTTTCTCTCTTGAAATATGATGAAATGGTATCTTTTTCTTTATCATTATTATTTTTTTTCACAGTATTATTATTATTATTTATTTATTTATTTATTTATTTATTTTTCTTGATATTATCAACCGGTAATAATATATAATATATTTTTTTTGTTTATTTTTTTAATAATCTCTTAAATATACACATTCTTTATTATGTCTTTATTGCATAGAGAGAGAGAGAGAGAGAGAGAGAGAGAGAGAGAGAGAGTAGCATGTATATTACTGCTGCTGTTGCTGTTTCTTTTTTTTTCTTTTTTTACTTCTCTTTCTAGTGCGTTTACTATTACGTGATCTTTTCTTGTAATTCTTCTTTTTTCTTATCTTTTTCTCTTTATTATTATTATTTGTTTTTCTTTTCTTTCTTTCTTTTTCTTTTTTTTTTTGATATTCTACAAAGTTTAGAAAGAGTTTTACACTGTGCGTGTGGAGTAGTATTTCATGTCAGCACTCACATATCAAAGTAAACGTCGAGTACTCGCGCCGCCTATTCTTAACCCATATGAAGATGTAGAAGCGAAAGAAGATTACACTCCATATCAACAACATCCACGGAAGGAACAAACTAGAAATGCCCGGGAATATCACACGGTTCCCTCATCATCATATCAATCCCAATATGAGAATCCAGAGAGTGGTGTATATCATGAACTAGATGATGATAATGATAATAATAACAACAATAATAACAATATCAACAATAATGAGAGCATTAGTCTATACAACACACTCCCACCACCACTACCTCCACCATCTGTATTACCAGTCTCAACTAACACACCTCACTCAAATACCAACATCCAACAATCTAAACAACAACAACAGCAATCTAAACAACAATTACATTCACGTGAGGTATACAGAAAAGGAGCATCACCACCACGACATGAACCGATAGAAGCGACATCACATCCACGTAGAGCTCAACCACAAGCCCCACGCACACGTGGTCCGAACTCCACTACAGTGATAATAGAAGTGGAGGCCGATCAAGTAACGAATTCCACATCTAAACCCTCCGAAGTGGATTTCTCCTGTCGTGAAACACAACTTCCACATACTGATCGTTTGACTAAACAATCATATCGATCCTCTAGTTCTCGTCGTCCATCTAATAGTAATCGCACTTCACTGAGGGATGATGATCTTTACAGTGGTGGTGGGACACGTGATCGAAGAAGAAGTAGTAGTAGTAGTACTGCTGCTGAGGTAGAAACACAGGAATATGCACAAGCAGAAAGAAAACAACAACAACAACAATCGCAACGACAATCTCAACAACAAGGACAATATCAACAACAGCAATCTCAACAACAACAACAACAATTAGATTCAAAATTTGTTATTCAGAGTGCCTTTACTCAACAAAATCCGTTTCGCCGTCAAACCTTTGAGGAGTTTTGTTGTTTTCCTGATTACAGTGCCCCAAGCACTTTCTCTACATATAAACCCGAGTTAAATGGATGGTCAGGATTTCAGCGAGCAGCAGAGGGTGGATTTCATAATCAATTCACCAAAGAGGCTCTCCTGCAGGGAAATTCCAATCGATCTACTGTTTACCCAATTCCTCCTGCAGCTCTTGCAGTCTTACAGGCTGGTGATTGGTTTCTTAAGTGGACACGACGCGGTAAAGTGCATGAACGTTTTGTTTGGCTTGATACACAACGCGATATAATCGTATGGGGACAAAATCCACGATACGCATTTGTATTGCTTTCCCATTTAAAGTTAAATGATGTTGTAGATGTTCGCCCAGATTGTTTGTTTGATGAGTCCACACAACGCACTTTTTATCGTCTCTCTTTTGTTACTGAAGAACGTACAATTGTATTTGCCACTGAAATGCGTGATAAATTTGATTTTTGGTTTAATGCCCTACAAAAGATAATCTCTACAGGGAGGAGTTCAGCGAAATGGTCTGGACTGTGGGGTTCTGTAGAGTCTCAGGCGGCGGCGAAGGTAACAAGTGCGAGTGATTGGGCCTCACGTAGTAGTCCACTGCATGCTGTTTTGCACGGTTACGTGACTTCATCTAATTCTGCAGGGGCGGGGGCGATGTTAACACATATGCGTGGACAAGTGTTACCAAGTGATTAGAAGGAAATAACCCGGTATATCTATCTATCTATCTATCTATCTTTTAATCTGTCCAAATCTTTCTGTGTATATCGGTGTGTGTGTGAGAGAGAGAGAGAGGGAAAAGTAGAGATAGAAAGAATATTATTAATGGAGAAACTTGAGAGGAAAAAGGGTTACTGGTTGTGGATGGGTTTGCCTATTGAAATTGTTATTGGTTTTTTTTTGTATTATTTTTAAACTTATCGGTTATTATTATTATTTCTTTGTATCTCATATTATCACACCCCCAGGATCTCTTTCTTTCTTGGGGAGGTTCCTTGTACATATTGAAGACTAGTTATTTTTCAGAGTGTATTGAGTTTTATTCTTTTAGACTGAGAAGAAGAAAAAATTAAAAGAAAAAAAAAAACTAGGTGTGTATGTTAAATATAAACATGTACGTTTTTTTTCTTTTCAGATATTCACTTTTCACTGTTAACGTAAACCTTCCTTTTTTTTTTCGTCTTGTTGTTATTATTATTGTTATTTCTTTCTTGGGTAAAGGTGGGATTGCGTAGTGTGTCATAGGGAAAAGGGGAAAAGAACAGAGAAAAGAAGAAAAGAAAAGGAAGGGATACAAAGGCACCCCCAAAAACGGAGCATCTTTTTATAGGTGCACTCTGGAAAAAAAAAAGTAGAGTCAAAGCTGGTTTGATAACTAAAGCAACCAACATCAAGAAGGATAAATAATATATATATATATATATATATATATATTAATAATAATAACGATTGGAAACTACAACTACAACAACAACAACAACAACTCTCTCTCTCTATCTCTTTCTCTCACATACATACACACAGAGATAACAACAACAAAATAAAGAGATGACGGATTATGAAGATGAAAGTGCACGAGAACACACACTTTTGGGTGATGTTGATACAACAGAGAAGAGGTTTGATCCTGATCCCTGTGGATACTACGCAGCTCTTGGCGTCTCACAGGATGCCTCACAAAAAGATATTCGACAGGCCTTTTTACATTTAAGTAGGACCTATCATGCCGATAAACACAGTGGAGAATCTGTAGATACTGTACAGTTAATGAATGAGCGATTTCAGAAATTACAAGATGCATATACTGTACTCTCAGACCCAAAGCAACGAGTGGCATATGATGTGGGAGGAGAATTGGGTATAAGCCGTTTGGCTCTTATTCCACAGTCTATTAACCGACGTGAAGATATCGCACGTTACTTGGAGTTGTTAGATCAAGAAGCGGAGGTATTACGAGTATCTAAAATGCTTTCAACGAAATCAGAGATCTCAATTGTATATTCCTTTACACATCTTTTTCTTTCAAGGAAAGTACATTCAACTCCTGTACAATCAATGGAGAATGAAAATGATGTAGTGAACACTTCCCCTAATGTAGAAACAGATACCGTGGAAGGTGAAGAGTCCAGTGAGGTTGCCGAACCAACAGCAACAACAGCAACAGCAACAACAACAGACGGTGCAGCTCCAACGAATACTGTTAATGCTCAATTCTCTGCAAAAGAAGTTATTTTGGATGGACGTAAACAAATTGTACTTTTACCATCTCCTGAATTTCAACGTTTATTATATGAAAGAATGGGTAAAACAGCTGTTAGTGCTTCTTCTCATGATGGTGATAATAATAATAATAATAATGAGAACCAGATGATGGAATTTGAGAAAACACAAAGTATATTTGGTGTATTAAGTTCAGTAAAGAAGTTGTTAACGGGTGTACAAGCCGATAGTTTAGCTTTTAAACACTCTTTTCATCATGTTTTCTCACCGAATGCTATTGCGGAATTTGTAACACGAGCCAATCATTCAAAAAATGGAATGAATATGGGTTGTAAAGGAATTCTTCGCTATTCCTCAGATGAGATCACTACATACACTACAACGTATGAATTATCAAAGGTTGGAGGAGATTTTTTTCTGGAGCGAGAACGTGCACTTAATCCTATATGGACTGTTAGTACAGGAGCACATCTCTTTGGTAGAAAAGGTTTACTACAAAAGTACAGATTGAGTTTACAACGAAAATTATCAAATACATGGACATTAAAAAATACGTTAGATATGTCTTTTACAGAATATGGTAGTTTTTCATCCTATATTTGGGGTGTAACATCAAATAATGTGCTGAATCGCATTTATCTTCACTCTGGGAATGGTAATCTACATCTTGGAGTTTCTAGAGAAATACCTATTGTATTTCAAAATGATGAAGAACAAAATTCAAAACCCAATAGAGGTTTTATTGCACCTTTTGCACATTTAAATCTTGTTGGAGGTTTAAATGTTGGATTTGATGTATGGTATGGAATTTCTAAATATCATCGTATTGGTATTGGTTTTTCTTCTTTATTAAGCATTTCAGGATATTCTAATTCCTCATCTAGTCGACGTATTGCAACTGCAGGAATAAATGAATTCCGTTTATTATATGCACAAGGTCAACATAGTATTCGTATTCCATTTTTGGCCTTTTACAGTTCAGGAGTTCAACAAGTGGCTATTTGGATTTCCGCACCATTACTCTTATATCGAACGGCTCAACTTTTATGGCGGCCTTATCGTAATAGACGAGTGGCGGCTCTTTACAAACAAAGACGAATAGAACACCGAGCAGAAATGGATATCGCACGAATGCGGGCTATAAATGAACAGAAGGCGATTGAATTCAGTTCCATGAGAAATCACATGGCAGAAGAAAGAGTTGGAGGACTTGTGATTATTAACGCAAAGTATGGAGTGTTGAATCCGCGCTATCCAGAGGCACTTCAACAACAACAACAATCGAAAAGAAATGGAACAACTAATAATAATAATCATATTCAACACTTACCATGGTGGAGACGATGGTGGACACGGAAAGAAACTGGTACACCCAATATAGTTCATATGAATAATAATAATAGTAATAATAATACAGGTTTCATAAGAAATGGTGATATTGGTGGTAATAATGATGATAATAATGATGGTTTACGAAATGAAGAAGAGAAGGAAGATGATATGGAAGAGGATACAGCTTCACTATTGGTATTGGATGTAACTGTGGCACTTCAAAACTTTGTACACGACTCTCAACTTTCATTACCAGGTGGATCAAAGAGTCGATTGGCTGGATTCGCAGATCCGGACCCATTTACAGCAGAGAAGAAAGAATTGAAGATTGTTTATTGGTTTCGCCACAAGCGTCATGTTGTGGTTGTAAATGATGATGATCCTGTACGACTTCCACAGCGAGAACACTTGGTTGAATCCTAAAGAAATATCATATTTGCGTTTATCAAATTTCTCTCTTTTTCTCCCCATATAAATATATATGGATAGATTTTGTTATGTGCAAATGAAATATTGGCGTATTCATGGAAATGTTTGGGAATTATACATATATATGTATATACATACATATATACACATACATACAATATACATACATACATTATGAACTATTAAAATCGTAGCAAAATGGAGGCTCGATATTCACTTTGTTCTGTCCTACTTTTCGCCTCCATTTCAATTTTTTGTTTTTGTTTTATTAAGACATATTACTAGAAATGATGTTTTATACTTTGTACTCTATCTATTGTTTATTCTTTCTTGTTTTGTACCCTCTCCGTTTTTCTTTTTCTTTTCGGATTTTGTTTTCTTTTTCTATTGTTTTTTTTTT